TGTAGGACCACTAGACTGAAAAACTCTTTCTTTCCCTCTGCCATCAGATTCCTAAACAGCTGAGGAGTTTATTACCAGGAAATACGTCATGTACTGTTTACATTCTCAGTTTGCACATTGACTGTTGACTGCTGCACATGCTGCTCCCATGCAGCATACATTCTCTATTATATTCTTATATATTTCTTATTATATTGCTGCATTTGCTGCTTCAAGTGCCTTAGATTTTGTGTTACTTATTTATCTACTTTATATTTCATTTGTATTTTGTGGCATTCATGTGGACGGCAAAGTAAGAATTTCATTGTACGGGGAAACACGTTTCCTAACTGTGCATATGACAAATAAACACTTTGACCTTGACCCGTGTGTGTGGGGATCTTGCCCTTACAGCAATAGTTTTCTCTTTGATTCCTCCTACTGGAAGTATTTTGCCAGTCAGTGACACCTCTCCAGTCATGGCTACATTCTGACGCACTGCACGGTTGGTTGCAAGGGACAACAGCGCTGTGACAATAGTGCAGCCGGCGCTTGGTCCATCTTTAGGAGTTGCACCCTAGAAACAAGCAACAGTTAAAGAGAAACAGGAACAAGAGTCCTAGGCACAGCGTTCACTCATGCAAATAAATCCCTTATGAAAAATGAGATCCCAAACAAAATGTGTCCTAAAATTCTTGATCCAGATTGGATCTGGATCATCTTTTATGTGTGTTAAACAGGGTTTTCCAGATCTGTCAGATCATCAGATGAAACTACAAATGTGTGTCCAATTTCAAATGATTTTGCCCCATGGCGAAGATGGGTTTTTTGTGAATTTCGTTATTTTTTGTGACCTTGACCTTTGACCTTCTCCAGTCAAATTCAAATCATTTCTAGGGTTGTCGCTATCAATGTCTGCACCAAGTATGCTTATGATCAATCCAGCCATTCGTCCGTAACCCTGCTAAGCAACAAATGCACACACAGAGAACCAAATACAACTCCTTGGTGGAGGTAGTGAGCACTGCTGCCAGCCACAGTGTCTGTGTGCTACTGTTAGGGTACCTGCACTACTAGTACAGGACAGTTTCAAATCTACACACAGTGGCACTGCAGTTATGAAAACGTTACACAAATAAAATGTGTCCAGCAGCTAATAAACATTAAATAAAAGAATTAAAATCTTAAGCAATAGTAATTACCAAGTCATTTGTTTCCAGTACGGTATACTATGTTTACCTCAGGGACATGCAAATGCAAGTGGGAGTTGACCAAAAAGTGATTTTCTGGTTCCTGGGTCATCAGAAAGGCTCTCGCAAAAGTTGAGGCAATTTTTGCACTTTCTTTCATAACATCACCCAGTTGACCTGCACAGGAGCATCAACACCTTTAAGACGCTTTCTGCTGAACATCTGGCAAAGATATCAGACTGATGCTTGGCAGTGTTTGATTAAAGTTAGAGACCTTCCTTACAGACCTGTAACCTCCAGTGACCCTTCTCCTTTAGAGTCCGCTCCTCCAGGGGGACGGCGTAGAGAGGTCTCTATGAATATTGTCGACCCTCCTACACACAGGGTAACATGCAGGCACATCTTCAGTCTGTTACAGTTTCCAGTGGTTTGTCTGTGTGTGTGTGTTTCTTACCCATTGCAGTCCATGCCAGCCCCATAACCACTCCTGGTGGGGTGACATCATACATTCGATCAACTGTGAACAGCGGTTTACCCACATACTCCTGCAGGTTGTCAGGTGTAACAGTCACTGTGGTCTGTTTGCTGCTGACAATGCAGAATGCCACCTTACGGAAAACCTGACAGACAGATGAAAGATTTAAGGTTCCCTTCTGTCCTGCATCAGTCTGCTCCATCCGCCCACCCACTTCACACATCAGCAGTCTCTGATGGTCCTTCATAGCTACTGTATGTTCACACTACACGCCGAAGTGACTCAAATCTCATGTTTTTCCTTGCAGGTGACTTAGATCAGATCCTTTCACAGATGTTTGGACAAACCAAATTGTATTTTTTCCAAGTCAAATCTAGGCCACTTCCATATGTGCTCCTAGATCTGATCCAGATCAGAAAATTGACTATGCAAGCACTGTCAGAACAGTCAGATCAGAATTCATGTGGTTTTACTCCAGCATCTCTCTCCTCTACCTGTCATCATCATTCATTGTTGGCCCCTCACAGAATGTTAAAAATAATGGAGGAGAGCAACAATAGCAATGAGGGTCTGGGGAGAGACAAGGACGTTTCAGAGCTGTCGGACATTTATGATCAAGCCAAACTGGAAGAAAATACCATAACCGACCGCTGCACAAATGACGATATTGTTGTTATTCTTGTATGCATGTGGCTCACATTTCATTTAGATCTGCACATGCGTGGAAGTTTATGACCTCCATGGTGTTCAAATCAAGTTGGACACATTTCACTTACAGAACGTGAACCATTAACACAAAACATTGGAACTGAGCATTATGGAGTGTAATGTGAACATACAGTAGCTGACATGACAGTAGGATTCACTTTTTCTTACATCAAGAATTTTTGCTGATTAAACGCAAAATCCTTGTTCTGAGTAGCCGAATGGGTGTGAGCTCTAGTACAGTATAGACTTGTCCCGATCCGATACTAGGTATCCGTATGAGCACGAATCCAGCCATTTTTCACAGGATCGGTATGGGTCAGATTAGACCCGATCCCATTCCACTACAGTTCTGTATTTTGAGACATGTGTGTCATGCAACCAATAAGCTGCCTGCACCGCCTGTGTGTCGGCTGGCGGGTCCCTCCAGCAGGTAGCTGCCACTTCAAGCTTATTTTTTAGCTTCAAGTGTATTAAAGTGTAAAACGCTCCACACAATCCACCTAAACAACACAAGCTCACTAGTTCCAACTAGAACTCCACCAATCCAGAGAAATACATCACACAAAAACAGTTCAAACACCTGACCCATCATCAATCCTATTGAACACGGCAGTTCTTTTTAAAGTGTGTGTAGTTTCTATTTGCTGTGTGTTACTGTGGGTCAGTTAAACTGTTCATAGACATCAAAGTGGGTCCACTAAGTTCCTCATTGTCTCCTGTTTGCCAGAGTTTTAACTTATTTAATAAGTGCATTCATAAACTGTCAAACAGGGACATACAGGTACAAAGTAGTACTTAGTATCTGCCCTGTAATGAATTTGTAGTTTTGAGAGTGTGTTGTCCAGCTCCCAGTTATTTATTTATTCATATCAATAATTTAAGCTAATAAACTTACTATTTTGGATCCAGGAACTGCCAGTATTGGGTGTTTTTTGTGACCTGACCATGCAAAACGACTTCACAAAATGTTTTGTGGACGTGCAGGACCCACTCTTATTTCTCTGCCGACATTCACAAACTGAATGTTTTTTAGTCTCGAGTAACTTGGTGATTTTCCCCTGGGAGTCTGGCACCTGCTTGAGCTGCAGTGATATTACTTCCCTACCAAAAACAGAACACAGTTTTTCTATATTTTACCTTTTCCACTTGTTTCTGCAGGTTCCTGACTCCGGACTCCCTGCAGTACTGCCTCATGAGTACATTGAGGGCATCAGATGAGATAGAGGCCTTATCTTCAGTCAGACCACACAGAGAGCGGAGTTGAGGGACAAGGTAACGCTAGACAAGACACAGAGAAATGGAAATTCAAGTGTTACGTCCGTGAATCAGGCCATTCCCAGCACCTTGTCAGCAGGCACGGGCACTGCCAGCAACTCCGCCCATGTGCACGTGTGGGAGCGCACTCTCGGCGGCAAGGCACACTTGCTCTCAATCAGCAGGGCAGTACTTAAGAGGAGCGTTGGTTTGTCCTCATCACCAGATGATCTCTCATCATCCTGCTGGTAAATTTGCATGTTGGCATTGTGCTTGAGCTATTTTGTGACGGATTAACTGCTATTCTGAGTTCGATTGCCTCCAGTTGCCATGAACTATTTAGTCTGCGAGAGTGGAATACCTGATTTACCAGTGACTTTGTGGTTTCTGCCATTCTGATTTTGATTGTTACTTTGTGTTATGAACTGTTTGATTTCTCTGTAACCTGGTTGGCTTCAGCCGTTCTGATTTTGTGCAAGGTCTGAACTGTTTCCTCCGTCAGAGAGCTCTCCTGAGAAGTAGGTAATGTGCGTGTGCTTGTGATTTCTTCCCCCCAGCACTGGACCTCAGCCTCCTCTAGTGGCCCAGTCAACCCAGTGTCCCCAGCTGCCTGAGAGCCACTGAAGTATCTCTGCGTCCAGCCCCCATCTACTCCTCATTTCAGTATTCATTAAATTATTTACTTTTCGAAGACTGAGTCCTGCATTTCTCCGAGTCCTCAGGACTGGCTGTATCATATAGTATGATTGCAAGAAAGTGCACCGAAATGAAAATTCTGGGCCGAAAACTTATGATGCACTTGGCTGAAAACCAAAACGAAACCGAAAATGGCTTCTTTTAAAAACTTCAAATTTTTAAAACACGCTTACTCTATAGTTGTGTATGTATGCGTGTGTGTGTGTGTGTGTATATATATATACATATATATATATATACAAGTCTCTATTTATAAGTACTTTACTCAAATTATTTTAATCTCTTCTCCTAATGCACATTCCCTTGCTTGTTGATATGTATGTACACATTGAGAGCCGCTGTACCAGACTCAAATTCCTTGTGTGTCCGACACACCTGGCCAATAAAGCTGATTCTGATTCTGATTCTCATTTGCATTGGCCATGACATTCACTAGCCCAGAGGCTTGGCTAAGCTAAGTGTACTGTATGTGTTGCATTTTGAAAAGTAATCCTGTGTTGACTCGTTGCCTGCTAGCAGTGGACCTGCGCTCTGCCTGACAGACAGTGCGTTGCATCACCTGAAGTCTCTCCTTCATCATACAAGTGGCCTCTAACACAAAGGTGCTGTGCCACTCTGCCCTCAGATAATTTCTACGGGACGCCAAAACCTCCCGCTGAGCCATCCCCTGCAGCTCCTCCTCTGAATGTGAGTGAGGCCCTGCTGCCTGGAGCCCGGCCCACTTTGTCGTTGATGGGGAGACACGTGATATAGCAGCTCCAGCGTGAGTGAAACCTAACCTGTGCTGCGCGAGGATGGGCGGGGCGGGGCATTTTCAGCGTGTTTTTTTTTTAATTCCGGCCCAAAATAAAAATGGCCTTTTCGGCCGAAAATTTTCGGTGGCCGAAAGTTCGGTGCACCCCTACAAGAAAGCATAACATTGGTTTGGCTTTTTGAGATGAGGAGCGTTACAAAGCAGCCAGAGAACTTTAACTTGATTTAGATGTCCCATTCTTCCTTCTGGATGCGTTAGTATTTAAAGCTAGTGTGTCTGTTTTGGCAACACTGGCAACCCAAGATGGGCATGATTTGACCTTTGTATTAATATGATATATGGCCGGCCTTTTGTGCAGTTTGTCACAATCAGACATCTGTAGTTCTCGCTCTATCTTTAGAAAACACAACAGGAGGGGCACTGCTACTGTATGGACTGGTTTCTGGCGTGAGTTTGTTTTCAGTCTTATTATATTCTCTAGTGGCTGAAAAGACATTAGCTAAGTACAGTCTGGTGGTAGAATCTGGCATTACCTCAGCAATAGCCAGCTTCTCCTGGGCAACATATCCAGATATATTGATCATCTCCATCCTGTCTCTGAGAGGCTCTGGGATGGTGTCGACCACATTGGCCGTGCAGATAAACAAAACCTTTATAGGAGCAGACAGAAATGTGCAGGACTTATAAAAACCGCATTTATGTATACTTTTTCACTGAAACTGTGGAGCTATGCATAGCACAAACTCTGACCTTTGACAGATCTACTGGAACATCCAGATAGTGGTCGAGGAAATTGGCGTTCTGTTCAGGGTCCAGAAGTTCCAGCAGTGCAGATGATGGATCACCCTGGTAACCACGACCCATTTTATCCACCTGGTAATAACATGTAGGAGAAAGACAAATCATCATCAATATTAACCCTGTCATGAAACCATTTTAGCTACCTGGTGAAATGCCTTCAGTTTGCTCTGGGGAAGGTTCTGAAAGGTTCTCACAAGACAACCACTTCTCCGTTCAGGCTTTATTATCAAGTGAGACAAAGAAACAAGACACTCTGCCTTACATTTTACACCCATCACACACACATCCATAAATCTACTAGAGAAATAAATAGAATCACAAGTCTGCCACAGTATAGCTCCATGTAAGCACCATTGTTTTGCTCCTCCCACAGTCTGAGACTGACAGCTCCACTCTACTGGGAAAATCTATGTAAGGGACCTCACAAAGACAATGGACAATGACTTCATACTCATCTTTCCAGACCACAAGAACATGCACAGAGAACTCATAATGTCCATCATATCTCTTGGTTTGCTATGGCTCTCTGCCACCTTCTCTAGCCAAAACACAAGGCAGAGGAAATACAGCTGGTGATGATCCTAACTGGCTTCATTTCATATTATACATTTGATCTATCGTTAAGATAAAACATAAATTATAGCTGCTTTAAGACCAATTTTTGAAATGCAAGAAGACTTAAGTTGGTTTCTCTCTTCCAGTAGTGTAGTATAAAGGGAGTTTACTTTTATTAAAGTATTTTCCATCACAAAGGCGGTTCTAGTATTTTAACTAGGGTGGCCTAGGGCATGTCTAGAGGTGACTACAATGTGTTGGTAATGTGCACAGTACACAGGACTTTTTATGTGCTTTAATATTCTACTAATACCTGTTGTCCTGACCGAAGCTTCTCTTCACCTACAAACCACCTAGAAGCCCTGATAATAACCTCCATTGTAAAAACTACGTGTGAGATTGTGCATCCAAACATGATGCACATCTCTGGTTGCTGCTGTGCTGCAGTTTACCGTGTTCTTTAGCATATCTGGACATCCTGAAAATGATCTCAGCAGTTCTTTAGCCACATCTGTACTTCAAAATAAGCCAGTGCTTCCCACAGTAGGCTGTATGGTACAGAACTAAAGACGTTAGCTGGATCTACGAACACCACCTGCCAATGTCTCTTTGAGAATATAAAAATGTTCACAAACTGGACCAGTTTTAAACAAACCTTTTGAACTAGTCTGTGGCTTCTTGACTCAGGATAACAAAACACTCCCCGGAAGCTCACTGTCAACAATTACCACATGTTTGATTTAATACCTAGTTTGCCAGCCATGCTCCTTACAACATCAATCAAAGATTTTTATTGTCAATTCACTATATGTGCAGAATATACAGAAAAATCAAAATACTGTTTCTTTCTCACCTAATGTTGAATGCCCATACCATTTAAGAAACTAAAATAGAATAAACACCGAATAAATACAATGTGATGACTGAATTCAAGTAATAAGGATAAACTAAATGGTACAACCTAACAGGCTATGATGAAACTCAAAGCCATGTGCAAACTGACATTGATACTACAGTGTTGTTTTTGGAAAAAGGATGGATCTCATTTTAAAAAAACTCCATCGTATGAAATTTTACCAGGACCCCGAGGTTGAATTGTTGATTCCCCATGCAAAATTTGGTGTAACTGCACTAGTTGGTGCTATAACCGTTGTTTTTTTCTTCAAATTACATAATTAAAACAGCATTTATATTGAAGTGGGGAAGATGCTAAGCTATGAATAAACACTGTAGAATTTAATGTGATTTACCCAGACAATACTGTATCTAGGAAGTATAATACAAAGGCAGCTTTTAAGTTAATTGCCTAGGACCCTGACAGCTTCTTTATATATAGACTGTTTGACTTTTAGTATTGTGTCAGTGTATACTGCAGAGAGTAAACACTACACCAGCAGATTTCCTTCAGAGATACAGTCAGGGAAAAAATGATTTGAACCCCAGCTGATTTTGTGATTTGGCTCCCAATGTCAGCTCGTTACCTGTATAAAATACACCTGGGAGCCAGAGATCTTGCTGACTGATAGGGGATCAAATACTTATTTCATTCATGAAAATGCAAATTAATGTATAACTTTTTTTGTAATGCATTTTTCTGGATTTTTTTGTTATTGTTGTGTCTCTCACTGTTCACATAAACCTACCATTGAAATTGTAGACTGATCATTTTTTTGTTAGTGGGCAAACTTACAAAATCAGCTGGGGTTCAAATCATTTTTTCCCTGACTGTATTAACGTTAACCTGATATGGATTTATACTGAACTCAACAGACACCAACTACAGAAGCAGCAGCATCAAACTGACCTCATCTATTAGCACCAGGGGGTTCTCTGTCTTGGTCTTCTTCAAACACTGGATGATCTTCCCAGGCATTGCTCCGACATACGTCCTCCTGGACACACACACAAAAATGCATTTAAAAAAATAATTCCTCCATATTTCCTCAAGCTGCATCTAGAGATCCACAATATAATGGTGGCTACTAAATAAAAAAAAACTTGAGCTGTTATTGCCAGAAGTGTTACTTCAGAGCAGAGACCACAGCAGATCTGATTTTTTTTATTCAAGCTGATGTGAAATGTTTATGCTGAAAATTGTTCAGTTCTTGTAGGCCCCACACTCTGCTAAGCGGTACCTGTCCAGCTGTGAGATTCACAACAGCAGCAGAGTTAAGTGTGAAAGACCCACAGCCTTTCTGAACCATTGAGTCCAAGGGCTTTATTTAACCGTTAATCAGTATACAAAGTTGTTTTAAGTTTATGCAGCTTAGACGCACAATAAACACGAGCCTCTGCTATAAGGTTATTAAAAACATGATTACAATAACAGATGAAGGCTATCTAAATATTGGTGTTGTATTATTAAATGTGTCAATCTAAATTTATAGCCAATTTTTGAGTCTAATTTTTAAGATTAATGGGTCTCATTCACCAACCGTTCTTAAGAACTAAATTGTCAGTAAAACCCACTTACGAAGGTTTCACAAAGAGTCTGGCATCCACAACCGTTTTCTTATCTGAGATATGCTCTTAGGTAAGAACAGCATCTACACACATTCAGCAGCACACTTATGCACATCCCAGTGATGACATGTTTGTGTGAAATAATTGGTTTTTCAGTTTTTTCCAGGTCTAGTCATATACAGTGGTGTGAAAAAGTGTTTGCCCCCTTACTGATTTCTTATCTTTTTGCATGTTTGTCACACTGTAATGTTTCAGATTGTCAAACAAATTTATATATTAGTCAAAGATAACACAAGTCAACACATCATGCAGTTTTTAAATGAAGGTTTTTATTATTAAGGGAAAACAAAATCCAAAACTATATAGCCCTGTGTGAACAAGTGTTTGCCCCCCTGTCAAAACACTGGTTTATCGCACCTGAGTTCAATTTCTCTAGCCACACCCAGGCCTGATTACTGCCACACCTGTTCGCAATCAAGAAATCACTTAAATAGGACCTGCCTGACAAAGTGAAGTAGACCAAAAGATCCTCAAAAGCTAGACATCATGCCGAGATCCAAAGAAATTCAAAACCAAATGAGAAAGAGAATAATTGAGCTCTATCAGTTTGGAAAAGGTTATAAAGCCATTTCTAAAGCTTTGGGACTGCAGCGAACCACAGTGAGAGCCATTATCCACAAATGGCGAAAACATGGAACAGTGGAGAACCTTCCCAGGAGTGGCCGGCCGACCAAAATTACCCCAAGAGCGCAGCGACAACTCATCCAAGAGGTCACAAAAGACCCCACAACAACATCCAAAGAACTGCAGGCCTCACTTGCCTCAGTTAAGGTGAGTGTTCATGACTCCACCATAAGAAAGAGACTGGGCAAAAATGGTTTGCATGGCAGAGTTCCAAGACGAAAACCACTGCTGAGCAAAAAGAACATAAAGGCTCGTCTCAGTTTTGCCAGAAAACATCTTGATGATCCCCAAGACTTTTGGGATAATAGTCTGTGGACAGAAGAGACACAAGTTGAACTTTTTGGAAGGTGTGTGTCCCATTATGTGTGGCGTATATGTAACACCGCATTTCAGAAAAAGAACATCATACCAACAGTAAAATATGGTGGTGGTAGTGTGATGGTCTGGGGCTGTTTTGCTGCTTCAGGCCCTGGAAGACATGCTGTGATAAGTGGAACCATGAATTCTGCTGTGTACCAAAATATCCTGAAGGAGAATGTCCGGCCATCCGTTTGTGACCTCAAGCTGAAGCGAACTTGGGTTCTGCAGCAGGACAATGATCCAAAGCACATCAGCAAGTCCACTTCTGAATGGCTGAAGAAAAACAAAATGAAGACTTTGGAGTGGCCTAGTCAAAGTCCTGACCTGAATCCAATTGAGATGCTGTGGCATGACCTTAAAAAGGCAGTTCATGCCCGAAAACCTTCCAATGTGGCTGACTTACAACAATTCTGCCAAGATGAGTGGGCCAAAATTCCTCCACAGCGCTGTGGAAGACTCATGGCAAGTTATCGAAAACGCTTGATTGCAGTTGTTGCTGCTAAGGGTGGCCCAACCAGTTATTAGGTTTAGGGGGCAAACACTTGTTCACACAGGGCTATATAGTTTTGGATTTTGTTTTCCCTTAATAATAAAAACCTTCATTTAAAAACTGCATGATGTGTTTACTTGTGTTATCTTTGACTAATATTTAAATTTGTTTGATGATCTGAAACATTACAGTGTGACAAACATGCAAAAAGATAAGAAATCAGTAAGGGGGCAAACACTTTTTCACACCACTGTAATATTGAATGTCCCTTTTGGCTTTTTCCTGTTAGGGGTTGCCATGTTCATATTTGGCACGTGTTTGGCACGCTGAGCACTGTGCCCTAACCACTAGTCTATCAGGTATCCTCTAGTCATAATATTGTAAGGTTTAAACTACAATAACAGCTTTTGTCATTTAGCTAAATATAGACATATCTGGTCCTTTTCTTCATTCTTCCAAACTTTGGCGTCCAACTATTTCTCCTGTAAACCTCTGTGGACCTTTTCAGTAGCTCAGGTGGTCCTACTGGCCTCTGGAGCCAGTCCGTCACTAAGAAGTCAATTTAAACTGCTTTTATAAAGTACTTTAAAGTTTAAATGTGAGTGTAACCGATGTTTTGGACACTGCATTTTAACATGACTTTGCTTATGTAGATTTTGTGTATACATTTTGTTTTTAACACGCGTTTGTGATTTTGGATTTTTGATGCTGATTTTATATGATTCATGGTGTTAACTGTTTGTCAGGGCACCACTGAGAATGAGAGCTGGCTCTCAACTGCTCTTTACCTGAATAAATAAAGGTGATGATCATTTTTAGTATTTCTTTAATGTTTTTCCCCATTATTTTACAAAGCATTATGGTCTTTTCAAACAAACACTAGACTAAAAATTGCAGCAAGCAATTAATTGCTTGTTTAAAAATCAAGGTTTTAAAATTAATTTAACTTTTCCAGTATGAATATTTGACATGCATACATTTAAAACCAAACACATTTAAGTGCCTATCTGTATTTCTAATTTCTTTAAGTGTCTCTCAGATATTTTGGCCAGTGTGTAAGTGTATGGAGGCTCGCTCAGCTGACGGCACAACTTATACAGTGTTCACTGAACGAGTAAGAGCATCCCATGTTAATTTATGCAAATAAGGAACAACTGGCATGAGCTTTCAACTTCTGAGCACATGGGGGGCAGCTGTGGCTCAGGAGGTAGAGCAGGTCGTTTCCTAACAGGAGGATTACAAGTTTGATTCCCGGCTTGTCCAGTCAACATGTCGAGGTGTCCTTGAGCAAGACGCTGAACCCCAGTTGCTCCCGGTGATAACACCGGTGTGTGAATGTGTGAGTGTTTGTGAGTGCGAGTGGGTGAATGGCCAAGTAATGTGAAAGCACTTTGAGTGTGCTGTAAAGCATAGAAAGGCGCTATACAAGTAAAAGACCATTTACCATGGGATTCATCAATATAAGAACACAAGTGCAAACAATTCTGCAGTTTAGGACGTGTTCATGAATCAGACATAGACTTTTCATAAGAACAACCTACAAAGAAATGTAAGAAAACACTCACATGTTGGTGATTATGGCCCAGTATTATTAGTTATCATAATAGCCTCGCCCACGTTAAACATAATTATTAGTTATCGTTATCTGTCCTGAAATTCCATTATCAGTGCATCTCCAGTTGCAACCCATCACATTGTAAGTGCAGTAAGCTCTAACATTAGCTATCCCTATTCAGATTGTGTTAACCTATTCCTTCCCCATACGAGAGACAAAGCTCTGTAAAGGATACTAACAATGTAAGTTATCATAACATCCCTCAGTAATAATGCCAGTACAGACTTCCACACCTGTGTCCTTTAATCTCAGCCACATCGGTCATGCCTCCCACGCTGAACCTGAAGTACTGTCTGTTCAGGGCTCTGGCTATGGAGCGTGCGATGGAGGTCTTTCCTACACCTGGAGGACCATAGAAACACAGGATCTTCCCCTGAATGGAGCCACGCAACTGGCTCACTGCTATAAACTCCTGCACAAAAACAAGTAAGTACAGGTTAAACCTCCAGCTTCTGACATGTGGATGTATGTACCTGAACTTTGCCACTGGGGTTATAAAAAGTAAATAAAAGTTTTTTCTTATACTTTTTAAATAGAATGTGTATGTGTGGGTGGGGGTGCATTTGCTAACCAATATGCGTTTCTTAACATCATCCATTCCATAGTGGTCTTCTTCCAGAACCTCTTTGGCTCTCTCCAGTGATAAGTTCTCCTCACTGTTGGTACCCCACGGCATGCTTGTCAGCCAGTCCAGGTAGTTACGGGTTACACTGAAACACACAGTCAATGTTTATATTTGTTGTCCTCTAAAGTAAAACTAAACTAAACATTTTAGTAACCTCAGGGTGAAATGTGTTGTATCAACAGATCTATCAGTGCACACACCAGAGACTGCTTAGCCATGAATAGACCATCATTAAAACTTATAACAAATAGCAAAAAACATATCGATATTGGCAAGGGTTAGATATATTTTGGATGGGAAAGCACTACGTATTTTGTATTCTTCATTGATTTTACCATACTTAGAGTATGGCGTTGAAAACTGGGGAAACACATACAAAAGCTCACTTCAACCATTGTATATATTACAAAAAAGAGCGATAAGAATTGTGCATAAGATGGGATACAGGGATCACACCAATGGAGCTTTCATACAGTCTAAATTGTTAAAATTATTCGATTTAGTGGGATATAAAACTGCTTTGTTTATGTGTAAAGCCAGGGACAATTTATTACCTGGTGGAATTCAAAAACTATTTAATGAAAGGGAAGGGGGATACAATTTAAGGGGTCAGTTAAATTTAAAAATTCATGCTATACGTACAACCAAAAAAAGATTTTGTATTTCCATAAGTGGGGTAAAACTATGGAATAATTTAAGTGTGGACATAAAAAATAGTAATAGAATTGACGAGTTTAAACATAAATATAAAGGTATGTGTCAATCAAGATACATGCAAGAACAGGTTTAATGATTAATTAGATGGAACATTGTGGGTGTGGTGTATGAATGTTAACACTCTGTAATAATTCTTTAGTATAT